AAGGACAAATGAGTCTACTGCTATTTTCGAGTTGACTAAAACATTAATTAGCCTAATCCAGGAAAGCAAAAAGGAACAGCGAGAGCATAACGCTCGGTTAGAAGCCATGATGAGAAATAAGCGACCCATCACGGTGCGTACCCCTCCAATCCAACAGGGACTGGCCCCGGCGCCTGCTCTCGGGGGAGCCGCAAACAATTTGAATGTTTGCTATGCATGCCATCAACCAGGGCATCTAGCCTGTGATTGCCCCCACCGGACCCCTCAACAACGGGTCGGGGTCGCACCGATGGCAGCGGCTCCCATCGCTAACGGACCTGGATGGGTAGGAGCCCTGATGGAAGAAATGGAAGGTGTAGGAAGTGCGTTAGCAACCACGGAAGAGGCTGCTGAGCTCATCCCCTTAGATCAGTATGTATCGCTTGGTTATCCTGGGCTTGGAATGATTGGAAAGATCAGACCGGCGCCGGAACAGAAAGAAGTGGCGGAATGGCGACCCTCTCCAGGAGAGATGGAGTCGGGAGGACCCACTTTCGTCACTGGGGAAATCGATGTACTCAACATCATCCGAGCCCTGGACCATCGGATTCCACTTCTGATTGGCCATCTGCTCTCGATCTCTGAACAAGCTAGTGAGCGAATGTTACAACACTTTAAGGCGAATCGAAAACGATTCGCCCTCGCTCGAACACTGAATGCAAAGGCTAAGAGCCCCACGCCAGATGAAAATACGGCTGGCACGTCGGATCCAATACGGGTAGGACTAATACAGAAAAACGATCATTTCCTACGGATTAAACCCATCCCCTGGAAATTTGCGGAATGTGATATTGAAATATAAGGAATTTCGTACAATGCGATCATTGATTCGGGAGCTGCTGTTTTGGCTATCTCACTGCGAGTAGTTGAGAGGGCAGGGAGGAAAAACGATCTAATCATGCCTACGGAAAAGGATCAACTCGTTTCGGCAGACGAAGAAAAGATTAAAACAGTGGGAAGAATAACCAATGTCGTTTTTCGATTAGGAAAGGTGCATGCATTAGGTGACGTCGTTGTATTAGACTTAAATACCTACAACGTTCTTTTCGGTCTTCCCGCTCTTGTGGCGTTACGAGCAAACTTGGATTTCGAGCGACGGTCAGTCATCCTCCGAAATACAGGAGGGAAGCCCTATGCTGTACCTATGAGGTTAACCCTTCGTACTACCATCAACGCAGTCCCGCGAGTTTCTCCGATGATAGCGGGAACTCTCCGTATGATCACCTGGGAAGACCCTGCAAACGATGAGCCATCATCAAAGGATGCGGATAGCAGTGACGAAAATGATCCGGAAATTCTGAAACTAGCACGACAACGCATTTATTACCCACTGCCCAGAACGATCGCAAGAACGACGCATCTGACCAATCGAAATATCCAAAGGACCAAAGCGATGATTTTGGGTGAACCCCTCGTACAGATTTCGAGGATGGTCGACTTTTTGGAACCCCCTCAAACCCTGTACGAAGGAATCTCCCCTCTCCTCGCCCGATACAACGACAAAAAGCACTATTGCGATATCACAGATCTCCCGAAGTCCCTATTGACACCCGCGAAAAAAGTACGACAGTTACGCTTGGGGGCGGAGACCAGTTCTTTGGAACCCCCTGGGCATCTCGAGGCTGAATCAGATGAGCTCGGAGTAAGGATCGCAACTAAGACCGTACCATGGCAAGATATCTGCGATGGGATCACCCCGGAAGGACACGTGGCCATCCGGGAGGAAGACGCCCTGATGATGGCCACGGTGTTCTCCTGGCGATCGTTTCATTCTTTTATCTCTGCGCCACCACCCGATGTGGCGAAACAAGCACGCACGAAGCAGATCGACGTACGGATCTGGGATCAGCTTTTCGAGTTACACGTGCCACAATACGTACCAGATGAGATTCATCGTTTGATTGCGGACATTCTGACAGAGTATCAGGGGGCGATTAGCGTAACGGACACTGGCATCGGTTTGTCGTTGGTCATTCAACACGAAATTCAGACGGGAAATGATTCCCCCATCGACTGCAAGCCCTACCGATACTCCCTGATAGAACGGAAAAAAGCTCTCGAACGAATTCGGGAATTCGAAGCAAGCGGGTGGATCGAACCCGCCACCGGACCATGGTCATTTCCAGTAGTGTTAGTGTCGAAAAACAACGGATCAATCCGCAAATGCATTGATTATCACAAAGTGAATGAAATCACGATTAAAGATGTGTATCCCCTCCCCCGGATTGATGATTTGCTGGATGCGATTGGATGTGCTAATTATTTTCGTAAGTTTGATATTCGGCATGGCTTCCATCACATTCTGGTTAAGGAGGAAGATCGGCCAAAAACGACCTTCGTATTGTTTGAAGATACGTGGTAGTGGGTTCGATGTCCAACGGGAATTTGTAACGCGCCTGCCACGTTTTACCGAGCGATGAATGTGACGTTCCAAAACTTCGTCAACAAGACACGGCTGACGCAGGGAATGATTAACTTTTGCGTGATCGTATACATGGACGATATTCTTGTCTACTCGGAGACGTATCACGGACATGCGCAACACATCGAATGGACATTGGGAGCACTGAGAGACGCTGGATTCAAGATCGCACTCAAGAAGAGCGGATTTTTCCTCTCGGAAATTTCGTTCTTGGGCTACATAGTGACACGTGGAGGGCTGCGACTGGATTCCAGGAAAGTGGCGGTTGTGAAGGAAGCCCCAGTTTCCACGTCGCTGACGCAGGTTCGAGCCTTCTTAGGCCTGGCGTCGTACTACCGCCATTTTATCAAAGGGTTTGCAGCGATTGCTCGGCCTCTCACGAATCTGCTTTGCAAGAACCAGCCTCTGCAGTGGGACTCTGAGTGCGGACAACCCTTTGATGCGCTGAAAGAGGCCCTGGTCACTGCACCTGTTTTGATCCGACCGGACCCTGCCAAGCAATTTATTCTTATAACGGACTGGCAACCGGAAGCGATCTCCGCCATTTTGGCACAGATGGGGATGGTCGTGAACACATCATTGAGTACGCGTTGCGAACGGTGCTAGACGAACGGAGGAATGACTCAGCACCCGAAGGCGAATGCTATGCAGTAGTCTGGGGAATCCAGCACTTCCACCGGTATCTCTACGGACAGAAGTTCCGCCTCGTGACGGATCATGATCCTCTGCTGGCTTTGAAGAAGCTCACTAATTACACGGGCATGATTGGACGTTGGGCGGTACGTCTACAGGAGTATGACTTCGACATCATCCACCGGAAGACGGAAAGACACGGCAACGCGGACGGACTGGCATGTCTGCATCGGCCTGCTAGAGTACCTAAGGGCGAGGAAATCACTCCGTGGAAGGGGTCAGAACCGGCAAATTGGCCTAAGTAAGGACAAGTGGCAGTTCTCCCATGTGGCAAGAAGCAGACCGGTGGCAATGGGTGACGGAGGTAACCCCACTACCCCTCTTTTTCCCCTCTCCTCTTCATCTCTTCTCTCCCTGCCTGATAAATTTTGCTATTTTTGTGAAACAATTTCTCTCGTATATTCGGTCTCCATGCGTCTAATGGGGAAGGGTATGCGGAATGGATAGATTGCCGACAGTGTGTTGCACGAGCCCATGGCTCGTGCATCCAATACAGGAATGACAGTAAGTCGTGGCTGTGTCCCTTATGTCGGGATGACAAGATCCCGATCGAGGCTCGTTTTTTGGATGCCACGTCAGAAGGGTTGGAAAGAACCCGAAAGTTTAGAAGGGTTGAAGTATGGACCGATATTGCTATGATTGCTACCTTAGTGGGTAACCCCCTCCAGGACTTCACCAAGGAAGATCGAAGGAGGGCTAATGAAAGGGCTCGGGATTATCGATGGGTCGAGGGTAGGTTAGAAAAACGGAAAACGGACGGCAGTGGAATTTGGATGGTTGTACCGCATCCGTTCATGAGGTATGACTGGGTGAAGACAGCACACAAAGAAATGACAGCCCATTTTGCCGTACAGATTACAGAGTCAGCAGTCGACAAAAATGAATGGTACTGGTCCAACATTCGGGACGATGTGAAATTCATCGTCACAAACTGTCAAGTCTGCGCCGCTGACAAGGCGCCGATCCAACCGCCAAGATCGATAATACCAACGGTAGTTGAGCGGCCGTTTCAAAGGGTGAGTATGTATACTACCGATATCGTAGTAACTCCTGACCCTAATAGTTGTGAATATTCAGTCCTGCTGGTGTTTGTCGACCATTTTTCGAAATGGATCGAGGCCTATCCATGTTGCACGCGGCAAGCCGCCGAAATCGAGCGGTATGTTAACCGTTTTCTCGGGATGCACCAAGATACGGAAGAAATCCTGACCGATAACGGGGCAGAATTCAAAGGGGAAGTATTAAGGAACCTGGTCATGCACGGTGTCGCTGTGTGGAATACCGCACCCCACATGTCACAATCCAATGGGCTGGTAGAAAACGCGAATAGGGTGATAAAGACAGCACTGCGACGAAACATCGCGGCACGGGACCCCAGGCCCTGGCCCGATATCGTAGACCACATCTTGGCGGTCCATCACGGAACACCCCATGAATCAACGGGCTTGAGCCTCTTCCAATTAAGGACCAATAGCGTCGCTTGCGTTTCGATACCGAGCCTCCCCGATGAATCGACACTCAACCGCCGGCCCACAAGGGCCACGGTTCGAGACAAGGCCAAGCGGCACCTAGAACTAATGGAACGGTCCCTCCCCAGGCTAGCCCGAAAACGCCAGAAACTGACCGAGTTGGCCCACGACCGACAGGTCCGAAGCTACGAGGCCCGAAACGGGAATGCAGGTCCACGGCCCCAGTACAAATTGGGGGACATCGTGCAGGTGAGGAAATGTGCTCGCTAGGGTAAGCTAGCGCCACGATTCTTCGGGCGATTCCTCATTATTGAGCTCGGACCAAACGGTGTGAACACCGTGCGGCTTGCGCCTGAGGTCTCCGGCAGCCGATCGGCTCGTCCGATCATCCGCCATGTGTCCTACCTTCGTCCCCTTCCTTCTTCCCCATCTTTGCCTTCATCTGACTCCTCCCCCACTACGGAAGAGGACGACGACTGCCTATCGCCTGTTTCCCCGTCTTCTTCTCGTTCTCCGTCTATTACTCCGTCCCAGTTACCATCGCCATGAGTTTTCTTACGGAGCAAGCTCTCAGCGATCCTCTGCTGGTACCACGGTGCTACATCTCGACGATCCGACAAGTTCATCATCCGCGGCTCAGCCCGGACCTTCAGCGACTTGCGCAATTCTTATGTACTCAGGGAGTGTACGCAGCCGCTGAGTTTCGATTTGCAGGCAGTCCCCAGGCGGTTGTTTTGGCGGAGGCAGTAGCGGTTCATCGGCGATCAGCTCTTGGAATCAGCCATGTGTCTACGGTTGTTGCCTTCAGCGGCGACATCAACACCATCAGCCCGGTGCAGCATACGGCTATCAAGACCACGCTTCGGCTGTGGGCTCAGCAGTTGGCATCAGAGTGGAATCGCTGGCTCACGCCCCATGGGGATAATCTTTTCCCCACAGACAACGTCGACCTCGACGAGATTCGAACCTTCCAGCACGAGCCGGCGGTGGTGCTCCCCGAACTCATCCCCTTCCAACGTCCTCAATGAACCCGTCCCCAATCTCTACCTTCGACCTCCCTTCCTTCTTCCCCACCTTCTGGCCGTCCGGAGTCCATCCGCATCTCTCCTTTTGTCTGGAGTCACTCGCTGTCCCCCTCCTTGATCCCCAGCAGTGGAGGCGTTGGCGAGAACACTTCGCCGAGCTGTCGGTGTGTCTGGTCGGAGTAAAGGTCACGTGGACGCGGCACGGAGATCACCACCAGTGGGCTGAGTACCTTGAGTTGCTTATCATCCAGGCGTGGCGAACGGGAGTGGAGGGCGATCTGCTCGGATTCCTCTTCGGATCGGTGCGGCCCGATCATCGCCAACTGATCGTGCAAGAGCTAACGGTCCCCCTTGCGAAGCTCGCCGACGACCTCCCACTTGAGATCGTCTCGCAGAGCGACAACAGCCCAGTCCCGCACATCCTCCCACGCACGTTGACACCATATCTTCAGTGGTCGGCGTGCTTGGAAGAACCAGGAAGCGGCCGCAACCCACTGTCACGGTGCGGTTATCTGGACCTGCACGAAATAGTCGATCTCGCCTTCTTTCAAGATCGGACGGCTTCCGAGAACGAGGAGGTAGAGATTGAAGCGGAAGAGGAAAGCTCGGAGGAAGATGAAGGAGTCGAAGAAGAGGCCGACGAGGAAGAAACTCCCGAAGAGGGGAGTTACAATGAGCACAACGAAGGGGAGCAAAGTGAGGAGGAGGAGGAAGAAAAACAAGACGAGGAGGAGGAAAAAGAAGAAGATCAGGAGGAGCTAGAAGAGTCCGAGTGGGACGGATTTGAGGAGGAGGTGCGTGCGGAGGCCCGAGAACAGGCCCAAGCACAGAAGAGGGAGGAGATCGCGGTCGGAAAGCGACAGCTGGAGTTTGCCAGCGTAGCAGATCCGCTGACCATCGACGATCCAGGGTGAGATCCAGAGCCGCCCAAGCCCGAACATGGGGACCCAGCTGCCGAGGCTTCGGCCGCACCGGCAAGACGGCGACGAAGCCAATCCCCCTCCCCCTCCGCCACCGACCGCCCACCAACTCGTCCACGTACCACTGCGGGGCATCGGGCTTCGTCCCCGGTCATTATCTCGCCGTCCCCTTGACCACCTCTCTTTCCGCCAGATTACCACTCGCGTCACCTTCCCCAGCAATTCCTTCCCATCGATACCTTCCGCTTTTTCTACACTACCCGCCTCGCTGTCACTGTTCAACCCCACCCTTCCACCCGATGCGCCCTCCCTGTCTTCTGCCTCCATATCCTTCTCCTTAGCGTCGCGTGGCGAGGCCACAATATGATCAAGGTATACTGCATGATTACAGAGACTATCCCCGCATGAGAAAATCACAATCACTTCCGCGCGGCGCTTTTCCAAACCTTTACCACCCTCTACCCCGATTACCTCGCATCCCTCCCTCACACTGGCAACCGATTCCCCCGCTTTCATCGCATCGTTCACTATCAAGAACTCCCGGAGACGGTGGCCGGAATAGAAAGCTTCCTTCCCCCGATACCAATCAACCCTCCCCCTCGCCACCCCTCCATGTACCGTCTCCCTTTTCCCCTCCCTGGCGCTCGCTGATGTATGACTGATGGGCACGCATCGTCCCCTCCTTGGATCGTCAATGACCCTTCCTGAGGAATTAGCAGTAGAGTTGTGTCTGCCACGATGGACGACGCCCACACTCATTCGAACGGTAAGTGGCATAGAGAGAAGAGCTCCGCGTGTCGATCTATTAGAGAAATCAACACGTGTCAACAAGCAAGCAGGAGCTTGCTAATATTGGAACCCCCTGGGCGTCACATATGTGACGAACCACTTTCTGTAGCGCGCGACTTTCTGCGCGCTTGCAATGAGGGGTCCTAAGCTGGGAAGGTTGGACCAATTACGGGAGATCGCGATCAGTGGGAAATTGCATCAGTGCCCTCGCTTCTTCGTCTTTTCCGTCGACTCTTTTCGGATGGCTGAGTTCGGAGTTGGGTGTGTAACGGGATGGGCGATTGATAGGTTGGGTGGATGGCTGGCATGCCCTCAAGCGCGAGAATAATAAATGTTGACGTCGTTTCTTTTGTTTCGGTTTTGGAACTTTTTAGGCGCGGACATCGCGCGGGAATTTTGCTTCGTTCATTTTGAAATTTCCTTTTCGAATTTTTCTTCGAATTCTTTTGTGAATCTTGTCGAGCCCCGATGGCTCTCGGAATTTCGGACTTTCTTTCCGGAACTTGTGCTTTTTGCTTTTTCACATTAGATAGGAATTTAGGAATTTTGTAATTAGGACTTTCTTTTGCCGCGCGGCGCCTTTTGCTTACGCGCTTCTTTATGCGGCTGCAACGGAATTCTGATTAGTCGGCGCCTTCAATCGGGTGTGTAACTGTAATTTTGGACTGGCGTCATTGTAACTGTATCTTTCTTCTTGTGCTTCGTCTTTCCCGCCCCTCTTCTCTTTCTTTTGCTGCGTTTTTGGTAGCCACGCTCTGCATGATCGGATCGATGCGTGGAGAGCGGCTTCGTCCCCCACGCCGCGTTCTGGCCATTCAGGCGTAGGCAATCCCTCCGCCTTCTCTCCTTCTAAGTCTTTGTAATTCTGTGTTCCTCCCGCCTGCATGCACGCTATAAATTTCAGCTGCGCGATTAGTTAGCTCTCTTAACCAGTCGTTGGAAGCTCGGGGTTGCGCGATAAGAGAGGGTCGGCACATGAGCGAAGTAAGAGGTGAGTAGAGTAGGAGTCGGGCGACCCGACGAGCTGGTGCCAAACGCGCAGGGTTGGCGCGGGCCACGACGGAATGTGGGCGCGAGCGAATCTGACAGGTGTGGGAGGACTAAGCGGGGTGACGGCTTCGTGGGTTGGTGCGCGACGACGGACTGTCCGCATCGAAGAGAAAGAGAGAGAGGAAGAGGGAGTTGAGGTTGATGGACGCGGATTTGCTGTTTCTTTTATCTTTCCTCCCTCCTGTCTCGTGTATATAAATTTTGATTTCGGCTCCGGGTGATTTGCCCGTTTCTGTTTTTCAAGATCTGGATTTGGTTTTTCGCTCACCCTTATCCTCGCGATTTCCCATCTCGGATATGGTGTATGAATGTATGAATGAATGTATGGATGTCATGTTTGGTTGTGTGTCTTCCTGTCGGATCCTTGCCTTTGCCTTGTTTACTGCCTTTGATGCACTCATGAGTAGGATAGGAATTTTGTGCAATCGGTAACCCTGTTCTCGTCTTTGCTTATCTTTTGATTGACCTGTTGTGGTTGTTGTATTTTGCATGATTGAAAATTACGGAGTGATTAGACAATCGAATGTCTAGCCCAGAGAACGTCGCGCGAGGACGCGTGTAAACGCGACCTGATCTGCGCCTTTACATGTGCCCCTGTGCGTCGACTCGTCAAATCCAAAAAAGGACCATCGATTGCAGAAGTACCGTCTGATTGGATACGGCCATCCGGGGTCTGCGACGGAGCAGTCATCATGTGCGAACACGCGTAAGCGCGACTTGATTCACGCAGCCTGCACGTGCTCGCACGCGGTGATCGCAATCGGCACAGACCCGCTCGTAGGCATCTCGCAGCTCTGCGATGACATAATGACACACTCCGAGAGCTCGGAGTCGTTGTTGTACGACCCGGACTATTTCACCCCTTGGATAGAGGAAAGCCTCCGACAGAGATACCCTTGCCTAACAGAGAATCGACTGTGTCCTAGGGAGTTTCACTGTAGCGACCCCCGGTGCTCTGATTTCCCCACTCAGGACCACACCCACTACTTCACCYACCCCGGATTTGTCGTTATCTCCACCAGCTTCCCTCCCTTCCGTCTTCTTCTTCTGTATCACCAACTCAGCGTCGTCCCGTGGGAGGCCATAGCCCCATACTGGCCCAGCACGCCCTGCGGAAATTGCCGATGACGCGGCGACCAGAGGGCCCCGGAATCCCGAAGGCCTAACCCGAACGCGCGACGACCGGCGCCACGTGGCAACTTCCGACGGCCTGACTCATCGGAACCCCACCCACCTCGGAGGGACCTTCCAGCGAGCCGCCGTCCTCGGAACCAATGGCTCGCCAGGCCTTGAATGATCCGCGCATGCCATCTGCCTTATGACCAGAGGCGGTCCGCCCTCTCCACCAAATTGCACTCGTGCCCCCGAGAAACTCTGCCACAGGAGATCTCAGTTCTGACCTTGGACTCCACCCCCACTTCCCCAAAAATCCTTGGCACACCCCTTGTCGCACTTCCAGGCCCACACTCTACTCCGATCAGGAAGTCGCGTTGGGCGTGAGGTTGGGCGTCTCATTGTGGGGGTCCACACTACAACAGGGGCTGGCAGGGGTTTCCAAGGCTTTAAGCTTGCCTATGTCCAGCCTCAGCATCTGGAACCATGGCATATACACATACACGACTGGGGTGGGTAGGGGTTCTCAAGGCTTCGCGCGTGTCCTTGCTTGGCCTTGGTATCTAGAACCATGGGCACATAGATAGCACACACACACTATGGCAGAATGGGGGTTGGTAGGTTAAACCACCTGTACTTGGGCACTGCGCGTCGCGCCGGCCGCCCAAATCTCGAAGCAGCGCGGGCTGTCGATTCGATTTATCGATGGCCCGCCGGCCGCGGAAATCGCGTAGCGTTAACGCTAAGGCGTCGCCCAAGTACTGGTGGTTTAAGTAGACATAGTGCTTGAGCCTGGCGCCCCGTGTACCCAAATAATGTGGTTTGCTTGACTGTGCCTCAACTGGGGCTGGGTGGGGCTTTCAAGGCTTCGCACTTGGCCCTCCTTAGCCCCGGTGCCTAGAACTACTGTCTGGTCCTGAGTACTCGATATTGAGGTAGGATAAAAAAAAAAAAAAAAAAAAAAAGGATGGTAGGGATAGGAGTGCGCTAGGAGAATTACCGAGAGGATGGGTATGGAAGTGGTCTTACGGAGCATAAGTAAGTGTCAGGACAGTCAATAGCTGTGGCAGTAGCCCCATGTGTGCGGAGTCCAGCTTCTACAACAACCTGGGCTTTGTTTGGAAAAAAAAAAAAAAAAAAAAAAAAAAAAAAAAAAAAAAAAAAAACCGCCTATCACCATCATTAGTTGATCCTAGAGTAGACCCCCTATTACTAGACCACCCTCAGACCAACCAGTGACTCACGTCCTCAGACAAGAACCACCCATAGTCCACAGCCAGACTCGAACCCGTGACCTACAGCATGTAACTGGAATGTTCTATCCCATATACTTCAGTCACAATTGGACCTAATGTGTGAAATGTCCAGACCGGGGGAGATCATCAGAACAACCCATACCCAACACCAGCAAGACCCACGTGAAGCCCAGACCAACATACAACACCCGTGGACTAACCCTTGGGTGGTGCGCAGGCAATGTCTGCAATAGCTTACCTGCGTCAGCCCGAGGGGTTATGCAAGTGGCCATGACCATGTGTTATGTGAACGCCTGCCAGTGTCTTTGAGCGAAGGTCCGGAGTTTGAACCTGCAACCTCAGACCACAATGTGCATTCACAACCGGTTCCCTAACCACTGAGCCAAAGGCCACTTGCGGTGCGGGCCTCCTTTTAGCTGGTGGTGCCGCCAGCCATTTTATTTGGCTGGTGCCGCCAGCCATTTTGCTCTGGAGGCCAAGCCCCGAAAGTTGCGGCAGCTGGCAAACCGCAACTTTGACAAATGCCTGGGAAACGTACCCCAGTTCACAGAGCCTAAGTCGATGAAGTTACCTTCCAGGGCTCAAGAGCATGCAAGTGATCCTTTTCAAAGTGGCAGGGCTTGTGAGCCTGCAACTGCACCTTTTCAAAGTGGCCTTCCGCATTTGCTACTAGCCCAGGCCTTTGAAAACCTTTTACCGCGTAAACTGGTAATAGCTGTACTCCACACCGGGCAAACTGGTGGTTTACACCATGAGTACCTTTGACACTTCCCTTGCCGAGCCTGGAAACACACTGCCCACCAAAAAAAAAGAACCAGTGCGGGTCTGCTTTTTTGGCTGGCGCCTCGCCCCAGTGGGC